GAAACTTGTATTGTATCCGCGTGTTGGGGGGGGGGGGGGGATGGGTTGAGTTCGGTGTTTGGCGGCTTGGGGTCTGGCTGTGGTCTCGTCTGCGGCTTCGGTTCTTGCCCAGCCCTCCCTGGTTTCTGGGTCTTGGCGCAAGGTGGCGGCCGGAACTGGGGGTTTGCATCAGGTGCCAGCCGTAGGCCACCTGGGTTTGTGGCGTGTGGCCTGTGGACCTTGGCGATAAGATCCCCTGGCTCTGCTCCCCCGAGCTCTTTGCCTTTCTGCCAGGGAGGATTTTACTGCCGGTAATTTTTTTTTTACCGTATTACAGAGAAACGATGCGAATGAAAGAGAAGCTTAAGTGCTTGTGGTTGAGTTAGTGCCTTACAACTGGCTACGCTGTATATTTTTTAAATGAATTTTAAGAAATACTCTGCTGTTTCCTAATGTTGTTTAACTTGGGGAGCTTGACACCTGCAGTAGCTTTCTAAGTAGACCAAGGTCAGTGGTAATCTTTCAGCTGCTCTTCTGCTCATCTACTTGTAAAAGAATATCTGGTTTTGACTGAAGCTTGTACTTGGATTAGAAATAAAGATCACTAAACATGAAAGGTACATTAGTTTGGAAACTGTGATGTTTCCATGGAGATGGGATTATAAGAAATCTAAAAGATTGTAGAGCTGTGGACTCACGCTCTTCCAAAAGACTGAATCTTCAGCAGACGGTGCGCTAACATGAGGTCCACATATTTAAAGCAATATAAGTACATTTCATGTAGAGTGTAGGAATTATGTAAGCTACTAATTAGGCTGTGTGTGTCTTAAAGCTGTGACTAGGAACATGGGAGGACTGCTTATCTGTTCTGGTCCATTTCTGGCCTACCTTAATAACCACAGAATCTGCTGGTTACACAGTAGGACAAAATTGGCTCCACTTAGGTGGGTCCCTCTTTCCCCAAACATGTAATCAAACTCCCGTTTTAAAACCTTAAAGTAGTGCTGTCCCAAGACTAATATTCTGCTATTTTTGTGCACTGAGATTGCTGTGGTTTTGAAGCTGACCTTTTCACTATTATAAAAATATTATTAAGAAAACAAGAAAGGCTGTAAATGTGGTTGTGAATGTGAAAAAGTCAAATGTACCAATATTAATCTTTGTCATAAATCCACTGTAAGCTATTCCAAATGTTCTTTACTGTTTGGCTCATGAAATAGGTGATGGAAAAGTAAATCTAAAGCTTCATGTGCATTCAAGCTGTCATAAAAGCTTACTGTTAGTAAACGGGAGAGGTCTCGCCCTTGTATTTCCCTTGTCTTGGCTGTACGGTCCTGTTCCCTACTTTGTGTTGTCCCTTGACTTCCTGCTGGATTTTTACTGAGATGATGTGGTTTTCTTTCACCTGAATGACTTTTTTGCTGGGGCATTTGTTAGCTGTTCTAGTGAGTTAAAGTCAGCTCACAAGTACGTCCTAGATGACGTATAGTGAGTTAGGGTAGGAGGGAGTGGAATCCTTTCCCCTGTCGGCAGTGGTGCACCCAGATGGAACTGCACCTTCACCCTTTGTTTTCTTTGTATTATCTTAGTTACATTCTTCTTTTCTACTTTCAGCGTAAAGAAGGTAACAACTTACATTTTTCTCTTCTTACAGGAAGAGGATGATTGGAAGGAGTTTGAACAAAAGGAAGAAATTGATTATAGTGGTCTTAGAGTTCAGTCCATGCAAATAAGGTACTGCTTCTTTTTTCTTTTTCTCTCCGGTGTAATCATTACCTATGTCTTAAAAAGTACGTTCTTCAGAGCTGCCTCCGTGGAGTCCAATTAAACAGAGGTTTGATACGTTTCTGCTAGTATAGAAGTTTGCTGCTGGGTAACTTAGTTTTGACTGTTCTCTGCCGATGTTCTCTTTATTTTCTACATCTCTGTTGATACTCTAGGTCTATCTGTTTTGGTTGGGACTCAAATTTTTATTACAAATGCTTAACATTCCCCTTCATAAAGATAGTAAAGTAGGAATTTGTCTGAGAGAGGAGTGCAGGTTAGTAATTCCCACTGAATCGTTTAACTGCTGTAAGGTTATCTGACTCATCTCAGTTTGGGGAGTGAATTCCTGAACCATTGCATTTTTATTTCAAAAAAACCGAAAATATAGTTGGTAAAACTAGTGTCCCATGACAAGATCCCACAGGACTGCATTTATGAGTCTCGTCCAAGATTCTTTGTTTGCTTTTTTGTTAGACTGTTCCTGTAGTCTGGTCTGAAGTAAGTCTACTTAAGTCTGTCCTGGTTAAAGAAAACGTTTCATCAGGTCAGAAAAAGGATTTTTATGACCTCAGTCTTAGACTGAGAATGTCACATAATCCTCATTGTCCAGGTATGGATGATGTTCAGAATAATGCCATCTTAAAATCATCTTACCTGTAACCAGTGCAATAGATGCTTTCTTCACTGTTTGAGCAGGTCTTACATATTCTTTGATTTATTTATTTTTTTTAACACCCAGCTCTCCCCTGCCCCGCCCTTTCAGTTAACTAGTCCTTTTAGGCCATTAGCACGTATTTGGTCCACAAGCTCTCCATACCATTGAAGTGTCACAGCGGATAATCACATGTCTGAATGGACGAGTAACAAGTGGGCTGCTGCTTCACTGACTACTAGTACTGTTTGACTGAAAAGCAAGTACTTTGGTTTTCCGGACAAAGGCCAGCATTCTGAATGCTTTTGATGCTGTGGCAGATTTTCAGGCCTGTGGAAGTTTCTGCCACAGGATTTTGTAACCACTCAGTGGATTCAGGGAGAGAGTAGAGAAGTAAATGGGAGAAAAACCCACTGGAGGTTATAAATTATTCAGCTCTGGAGATCTCTCTGCTGAAAATAAGACACAGAGTATCTGATGGGGGTGCGGGTGGGATGTTATGTATACTTACTCTGTTGCAGCTAGTCTGTAGGCATCTGCTTTTGGCCGTAGTTTAAAACAGGATAGTGATGTGTTTAGGTCCTTGGTCCAGCTTACTATGATTGTTACTGTATTTGGATGAACAGTGAAAGGCTGTTTATTTTCAGAAATTATAGGTATTTTTAACTGTTGTCTGATTAGTACTTATACAGAAAGCTTATCCGATCATGATTAGTAGGATTTGGTGTATTATAAACTTCTGTATTCACTTTGCTGCTGTTCAGATCAATGTCTTGGGTTCTTTTAACAGCCTCACCCTCCACGTATGTCCCGTTATACCACACAGCTTTCTGTAGTAGCTTTGTCTAGCAAACTGTTTTGAGTCTCTGACTATTTCTATGCAAAATAAAATAGTCTAAGTAAAATACAGTCAGGCTTTTGCATAGGATTTATCTTTAAAAAAGGCATATTTTTCTCTCTTTTTTGATTGCCTGCTTTTAAAAAAAAAAAAAATCTGAGTTGGTTTGTAGATTATATTTGTATGGGTAGTATAAGAGCGTTTCTCAGGTGATTGTGGTTATAGGGAAAGGGAGCTCAGGACTTGCTTTCTGTCACTACTTTTCCACAATTTCTTCCTCTTGACTAAAGCATTTTATGGAAGCTGGACTTGGTAGCCCTTTCCTGCTTTATCTTCTCATCACTTCCAAATGCATGACTGTCTTAGTAAGAAAAAAGTCTTTAAGCTCAAAATAAGAAATCAGTTTATTTAATCACTTATTACAGTTTGGATTTGTGGGTTTTTTTAAGAACTTTTTTCTTTTCAGTTGCCAAGTTATGTAGCTGTGTGCCAAAAATTGTTCAGATGGAAGTACTAATACAGTAGTTACAGGAGTAATGTAGTCTGGTTAAATCTAGTATCTTCAGTACAGTGGCCGTGAAGTCTTGTCTATGGCAATTGTGTAATCTCTGGCAAATCTTAAACCTCTGTAAAATGCTACTTGTCATTTCTTTTTTATAGTGAAAAAGAAGATGATGAAAGTGAAAAAAGAGAAGAACCTGGTGACAACTGGGAGGAGACTGGTGGTGGTGTAGACAGATCATCTGGTCCTTGGAATAAATCAGCTCCTGCACCAGCACCTGTCGTTGAACCAATTGGTAAATTTAACTCAGAGGTGTTGCTTTTTCCAATCGGAAGCGTATCGGGTTGAATTAAGCTGCTCAGAGCGTAGAGCTCAAGGAGCAGTTCCTATTCAGGCACCTTCTAACATACTAATGGCTTGTTTGACATACTAGCAAATGAGGAAATTTTCCTGTGCAGGGATCTGAGGAACTGAATTGATAGTACTGTCAGATACTTCAAATAAACACGAATGGAGGGGTTTTTATTTCTGACTTCAAAAGCAGCTGGGGGGAAAGCATTCCATCTTTGAAGGAGATCACTCTACTTTGCAATCTGCAAATATCTGTTGGAAGCATTTCTGTTGATCTAACAATATTGCTTTGACAATTATGTGGATGTTCAGCCAATATCTGATGTCTAATATGGCAGTTCTTGAGTAGGGTTCCATGGTTAGTAGTGCGCATTTCAAATCAGTTCTAGGGTACAGAGAACATGACATTGCAAAATTGATTCTTAAACTGAGATAGGACTTTAGTTTTGATTAAGTACAATTTATTAGCATCAGCGGAGATAAAATAGTTAGCCATGATCTGAGTTCAGACTATTCTCTTCCATTGAGAAATTAATTGAGAAGTGGCCTGCTGTCTTCTTTCTTGTCTGTACAGGCAAGGAGGTAAAGTTAATTAATCGGTGTTATTTCATTGTAGATTGTTACTTTAAATATAAACTATTTGGATATTCTCTTCTGCATCTGGAGAGGTGCTTTAAATAAGATTTGGCAAATATATAATTATGTGTTTAAATCTCTAGTTTTAAATGTGAGCTGCTCATAAATTGCAAATAAGAAACATGAAGTCCTCATCAGTGGTTTTGATTCCCTGAACTTTGTGAGGCAATACACCGGAGCCACATTTTCATTTGACTACTAAGTGTAGGCTAAATTATGTGACACCTGATTTCCTGCCTTGTCTAAAATATTTTCTTCCAGAGCTTTAAAAGGTGCAAAAACATACCTGTAAGATTCTTTTTTTTTATATGTGGGGGCTTTTTTTCAGATATGAATGCAAACTTACTCTCTTGTCTAAATCCTGTTCGTATAACTAGTTACAGAAACCCCAGAACCAGTTCAGACTGGTGGTGTATACAGGCCGCCTGGTGCCAGGGAGGGCGGCAGGCCACGGAGAGCACAGCAAGGACCACCAGAAATCTATAGTGATACGCAGTTTCCATCACTGCAGTCCACCGCCAAGCTTGTAGACAGTCGAAAGTAAGTACATTCCATTAATTCCCTAAGACGTATTTTAACTGCCTTCTCTAAGTTCTTATTTTGTTTTAGGGCTTAAGCCTGAATCTTTCCACAGAGGAAAGAAATCACTAAGAAATTATTCTGTTTGGCAAAGGGGCGTGGGAGAGGTCTTAACTGTATTTTCCAACTCTAGGAAGGGCTTCCCATGAAATAACTTTCATAGGACATAGCCCAGTGAGATAGCCAAACAAGACTGCCAGTTACCTTATCTTTGACTTGCTGAAGGATTTCCCTGAAGCAGGGTATTTCTGCTCTTGGCAGCATCTGATTCCTTGAGATACTAGCCATGGTGAGGTTCTGCGTTATTACTGTCAGTAGACATGAGTAGGATGCCTTGAGCACGCTGCCTTCTCATTAGAGCTGCGAAGGTAACTTAAATGGAGGAATGGGGTTTAATACAAACATAAATCAATAAACTTGCTGTCAGAGCTGTAGTTTGCAATGGTGAGCCTCCCCCAAAGTATTTTGTGGTGCTGAAGACTTGAGTCTCACCCTGCTTTTGAGTCCTGATCTTTCCATAACCTCATTCCCTACAGAAGAGATAGCTAGGCCAATACCTAATTCACTCGGGGTTTGGGGTGGGTTTTTTTGTGTTTTGTTTTTTTTTCTGCTTGCTGTGTTATTGACTAATACAGCCTAGCAGAAGCTTTGTTTCTTCTTCTGGTTTTTTTGGTGTGGCTTTGTCTGCTTAGCAAATGAGACATGCTGTCATTGATGCTTTAGGGTTTGAACGGTGCAAATTGAGCTAAGATGAAATTCTGAGTGAGCATTCTAGAAATAGACTTCTGCTTTCTAAAACCTATTTTTCATAAATGCACTTAAATTTACTTTTGAGAATGTGAATATTGAAATTTAGAATGTAATCTGAATTGTACTGGGTGATGAGCTTGATTCTGGAGATAAGGTTTTTCAGGATTTGCTTGGGAATGTTTGGCTGTTCTGTTAAAACTCTAGACCTTAGTGTTCTGTGTTCATAATGTTTTTGTTGGGATGGGGTGGAAATCGACTAGAAATTCACAATTCACAAGCTAGTGATAAGATATTTACTGATTACATTTATTTTCCCTTAGGGATAAAGAAATGGAGAAGAGCTTTGAAGTAGTAAAACACAAAACTAGAGGTAGGGATGAGGTCTCAAAAAACCAGGCACTTAAACTTCAGCTAGACAACCAGTATGCTGTGCTTGGGGATCAGTAGAGCTGCATACACATTACAATTAAGGAATGCTTTTTTGGTAACCCTTCTACTAAGGTAACTAAACTACAGCTAACGGCTATGATGAACATGCCACCTTATTTCTGCTGGATCTACTGCAGCAAGTGCAGACTACTTTGACGTAAGTGATTGGTTCTCCTGCACTATGGAAGCATAATATGTTACAACTTCTCCATTGGATATGGGGCAAATTAATGTAAATGATTGAACAAGAGTCATCAGTGTTCTTTAATTGCTCAGAAAGATACCTACAGCCAGTGGTCATTTCAAAATCTTTTTATGTTCAGATACTGAGCCTTCGTAAAGGTTGACTACCTCAGACTTGCTGCACTCATTGTGGACACCATGTGGATCACAACTTCTGGAAGAGAAGGTTACAGCTGTTTTAGTGGCCATCTGAAACTTGAAACCAGCTCTACTGGATTCCTGTCAGAAATCCTGCAGAAGTCAGCCATTTGGTTCCAATTTGCTATAACAAAGATTTAAGTGACCTTAATGACAAACCTATTCTGTTCCCCTTCTGAGGAATCCTGTCGTGTAGCCATAGCCTACTAGAGACTTCTGGAGCGTACCATACCACTCATACTATCCAAGTATAACAGAGCTGTAGTTTGTTTACCTTTTTAGATAGCTGTACTGAAGTAACTGCAAAACAAATTAAAACTCATTCATTATCAGATTTGAGGAATGATGGGTTTGAATGGTCTGTTTGCATTAGCCATTTTCACAGTTGTCTGTTTAAGCAATTTTTTTTCTGTTCTCCACAAAAAAAATGCCTGCCTTGTTTCTGGTATCAAATTGCAGTATATTTAAATAATAATGAGATGTTGTAGTGAAATAGGGTTTACTTTGGTTTTCGTCATGAGGTTTGTCTTTCTCACCCTAAGGCACCAAGACTTGAAAGAGTTTTGATTTGACACAGAGGTATCCAGACTCCAACTACAGTCTTCAGAATTTGTCTTAAAAATGAGATATGTGGCAGTAGCCATACTAGCTAGAAGTTTCTCTATTAAAAATAGTTCTTTGTTTGTTGAAGAGTAATGGTTACTTGATAACCAAAATAACTTGGTATGCAGAGGGATAACTAAAGCTGGTAAGCCGTATTTGTTTGGCTACTTTGTGAAGCATGCAGGCTTTCTGAGGCAGAAATCCTGTAAGTAAAACTCGTAAATGGTGTTTATTCAAAGTCAGGAAGTTTAGTAATAATGGAAGGCAGTGACTTCTTTAAGTTGTTGTCATCTCTGACTTACTTTAGTGGAAGTAGGCAAAATGGCACTGATACACTAAGAATATAGGACATTGACCGTAACTCTGATTCAATGAACAAAACCTGTCAAGTACCAAAAGTGTCCTGCTGTAACTGTTTTTCTCTTCTCTGAATTCTTACACAAGCAAAATGAAGTACAATAGTGGCGTGCTCCAGTGTTGAGGTTTCTCAGAGTAAATGCCAAAAAATAGACCCAACATCTATAAGAGTTGCCAATGGCAAGAAAAACAAGGGAACAAAACAAAACTTGCTTACGTGTGTGGGAGTATTATGTATGTGCAGATGATGAGGGTAGTGCAGGAATCGCCTAGTTGGGTTCCCTTTGACTAACTGCTGACTCGCTTTAAATCTACTTCTCTGAGGCCAACGGGAATTTTGCTGTTGACTTCAGTGGGGCTGGGGTTTCACCTGGTTCTTTTGTGCACAGACTAAAACTGGCCTTGCCCTTGCAGAGTTAACTGTCTCTAAAACTTCTGCTAGAAGCTGCTATTAAAGAGAGGGCTCGAGAGACTATTCTTAAAGTTGGAGACTTCATTTGGAAACAAAACCCCACTGAAAGACTGATCCCAATCCCTTGGACTCTGAGCCATGTATCTTCCTTGAAAATACATTGTTGCCAGCAAAACTGTTGATTTGTCACTGAAGCTTTCTGTGGAATTCATGGTAAATGGACATGTCGCTTGATGTGGTAGAAATGTGAAATCTTAAAGCACTTTTCCTGATGATCTGAAGCAGTTGAAATCACCAGTGCACACAAATCAAGTTTTAGTCTACGGTATGAAGGGTAGATGAGACTGTCCGTTGTACCATCCTTATCTGAGTTTTTGGGCATGAATTCTGGCAGTTCAGTAAAACCCTGTAACAGTTGCAAATCAAATAAAATGGAAATATACATGGATTCTGGAGTCTTTTTAGTTCTAGCTTATGACCATACAACAGCTGAGGAAACGCAGAGCATTTGGATCTCTTAAGGGACAGGCCATGGAGTGGGTAGTCAGCCTTATGGTCAGGTGGGCTATATTTAAGAGCTTATAGCAGTGCATATTAATATGACTTTTATTTATACATAGAAATTTAGTTTGCCTGTGAGAGTGTCTTCTTACTCCCACCATATAGGACTGGTTTGAGATTGTGAATTGAGTATGAATGAAGCTTTGATTTGCTTTTCACTTGAAAGTAGCTCTACTAAATTAAAGAATGAAAAAAACCCCAACAAAACAAGACAAACCTCTGGATGGTTGCTGTCACCAGAGTCCATCAGCTACTGATAACTAGAGGTGTTATTTTGGCGGCTTATCTTAAGCATATCATTCCAGGTTCTTTCTAGAGGCATAAAGGAAAAAAAATCAGAAATGCAGCAAATTTCCATAGTACAGAATGTTAAATTATTTTGAAGTGTTTCTTGTGTTAAATATCGCTGCCAGCAGCTATCAAAATGCCAGTTGCCAGTATCTACCTTGTAACGATAAATTGTTCTGCATGCCTGAAATGTTGAAAGTCGGTCCTCTGTGGAAGCTCAGTATGCTTTTGAGACTCTGAAGTCCAACTTCATCTGGTTTGTTGTTGCATTCATTCAAGGCATGCTAAGAATGTCCATTTCATTCCTTCAAAAATGCTTGTTGAAGGCTCATTCTATAAATGAAGGATTGTCAGTTGTAGAAATGAGATTCTTGATACCAGTCAGTAAAATGCAGTTTTGTGCCACTTCAGGAACTTCCTAACCTGTAACATGCTTCTATAGTGGGTTAGTTATTAATTTCCAATTTAAAGGTTCCATTTTTCTTTCTCTGGCTTAAAATAGAAACACAGCCATAAGGTACCGATGTGCTAGTAGAACATTTAAATGTCCAGTACTTACTGGAAAAGGAACAATTTGGATTTGTGGTTCTCGGTGATATAGTCTGTATTTAAGGAATGTTAAAATGCCAAAAACTAGATAATTTTAATAAAGTTGGACTTCCCAAATGCCTGCTGTAGGAATCTGGCATCTGTATTTACTTGAGCTGATGATAAATGTAGGAGAGGATTAGTTTTTTCCCCTCCCACCCCCACCCCCCATTTAGCTGTGCCGTGTTTAATCTTCTCAAATGAAGAGAAATTGACAACTAAAAGTGACTCTCTCCTGCTACTTCAGTTTTGTCTTTGTAGCTAACTTTACCAGTCATGTCCAAAGTAACTCGCTTATGAACAGATGAATTTTTAATGGTACAAATTGTGTTAGAGACCTGACACCATAGGGAATAGGGTTTTTGGTATTTGACTGCATCTGTTGGCTCCTGGAAACTTTCACCACAACATGGCTGAGACATCTGTGCTGGTCAAGGAAACAACACAAATTTGATGGGGCTGCACATCTTGGAGTTTGCTTATCTGAGCTTTTGCAATAGTTATATCTTCTTTTTCTACTTTCTAACTTCAGCCTGGTTGAGCAGTTCTAAACTTGCTTGTGGTTTTCTGTCAAATACCATAACTAAAATGGAGGAGCTGATTCTTTTTTTAAGCACATGAAACCCTATTAGTCTAAAAGGTGCTTATTTACAAGGTAGTAATATTATTCTTTCCAATATTGACGTGGTCAGAGAAATTAATACCTCACAAATTGGTCATGTAAAATATATCAGAGGCCCAAGAAACTAAATTTTACCAAAAACACCTTGAATACTTAAAAATCTTTATGAATAGCCACAATTCAGGTTTCATCGCCTGACTGTAATTTAGTTCCCAAATTTTGTCCCTCTCTGTTTTCAGCTTTTAATTTCACAAAGTGGTTTTAATGGTAAATAGGGCCTTTATTTGGGAATATAAAAAAAAAAAAATGCATATTTAAATTTCAGATGTATAAATTAATTATGTACAAAGGGGGAGGAAATTTACATATATTTGCCAAAAAATTCTTCAGAGAAAGTTAAAAAGTCAGCTTGTCTGTATCGAGGTTAATATGAGAACCTGCAAGCTCTAGCAGATGGAAGAAGAAATGACAGCAGAAAACAGAACTGAGGAGTCTAATACTGATTTGGATAAGTCATAACTATCATGTATCTAGAGTTTGGCTTCTGAAGCACCAGCTGTAGTTCCACCATGTTCTGTTTAAAATGAAATAGAACAGGAAGGAAGATTTTTTTTTTTTAAATTAGGACAAGTGGAAATTATGCAAATAAAACACAGGAGGAATAAGAAGAGAGGGATTAGGAAGGCTGTTTTCTAAATGATAGCATTAAATGCATAGCCTGAGGTAGGGAGCGGAGTGTAAGTGGTTGGGTAGGAGAAGTGCAGGGTAAGCACTGCTTGCACAAGTGACAGATCCATCTGACTTAAAATCAGCAAAAGTGTTTGAAGTTCAGTACCTGGGGAAGGCATTCCATTTTTTTTCCCCCTAAAGAAAAGATTTAAATTAGGACAAGTGGAAATTATGCAAATAAAACACAGGAGGAATAAGAAGAGAGGGATTAGGAAGGCTGTTTTCTAAATGATAGCATTAAATGCATAGCCTGAGGTAGGGAGCGGAGTGTAAGTGGTTGGGTAGGAGAAGTGCAGGGTAAGCACTGCTTGCACAAGTGACAGATCCATCTGACTTAAAATCAGCAAAAGTGTTTGAAGTTCAGTACCTGGGAAGGCATTCCATTTTTTTTTCCCCCTTTAAAGAAAAGAATCAGGAAAACCTGTCCAGAGAGAAGGTAGAATTCTGCATTGGTACAAAGCTGTCTAACCAGTTGCTTAAAGAGCGAACCGAGAAAGGACAAATTCCAAGTTAGTTCAGCAATCTTATTAGGAAATAGCTTGTTTCATATTTAAGAAAACTCTTTCGCACTTCTGCGTGATAAAAAGCTGAGACACTGATTCAAATTGATATGATGACATTTCCTTTTTTTTGTGAAGCATCTTCTAATGGTACATGTATCACAGTTTTATGTTCAGTTGCTTAGAATATATGTTGATTTAGCAAGGTTAATGAAGTTCAATGGGCTGCTTAGCCAGAATACAAATATTAAAAATGTATCACAGTATTAATGAATCATCAGAAAAAGTACTGCATCTGGAATGCTGGAATGGAAAGTATAATCTAAAACAACTGCGTGCACTGAAAAGAAGCAAGCCCATTTTTTAGGAAGAGCATAGGACCAAGAGAGTAGGATTTAGCCTTGGTTTTCCACTGAGCTGCTGTGTCAACTTCAAGTAATTTAGTTTCACTTTGCCTCGGTTTCCCCAGCTGTACCAAAAAAACCCAACAACCTACCTCACAGGGGTGTTGTGAGGCCAAAGCTGTTCTTTGTTCAGGGCTGGGGCTGATGGAAGGTGCTGCAGAGGACTAAAAAATCTTTATTAAGAGATCTTTATACTAGCTTTCATTACAATATTTTAATACTACTTTGAGAAAGGCTTATTTCTACAGAATGTAATACACATTCTATTTAAGTATTATGTAATTAGTCTTATTTTAGTATGTATGGGTAAGGAAAAAGTTCAGGCTGAGCACTCTGTTATTTCCTCTCTTTAATTATCTGTGCAACCAAATTAATATGAGGCTTTTTGTTTTTACGTGGAATACATTACAATCAATATTGCTACATTTTGTAAACCCCATGACTGAAATAAAATCCTGCTCACAGTTGATAGCCATCTCTTCTAATGTGGCTGTTTTAAAGTTTGTTCAAATATGTGAACTAGAAATGTTCACTCCTGAAAGTATATATTTGTGTCAGGATGCCAAGTGGTATTTTGTAGTAGGAATGTAGTTTTCTTCCCCTTTCCACATGTAAACATACATTTGTCCTATTCTTTATCCTTTCCCATATTTAAGTTGAAGTAGCATGCAGGTACAATGGAAATATGGGAGAGAGAGTAATCTTACCAGATTCTAAAAGTTTTGAGGTTATTAAGGCAGGCTGTGGAGGGAAAACATGAGGGGAATAAAACAAAGGGAAATAGTTGCCTATGGAGATGTTTCTGTGAAACAGATAAAGGAAAGAAATGATCAGAAGATAGAGCTGAGAGGGGTAAGCAGAGGGATAGGTAGGAGAGGAAGGAATACAGACACAGAAGATGTGATTACCCTATTTACTTTTATCTCCTGTTTTATCAGTTAACTGCAGCTGGACGAACATGAAGAAATAATTTTTATGGGTAGGCCCTTGTCTGCTGTTGCTGGTGATTTCAAGGTTCATCACTCAGCTTTTACAGTGGACCTCCAAATGGAAGCAGAGAACATGATGGTGGTATGTGTGCAGACAAGTTAGACCTCTGGTGGGTGCTGGACAGAGATGAGGCCCAGCAGCTATCCTCTCTTGCCGATACTATCATTGCAGCACCTCTAAGACAGTTGTTAATGTGCATCAGCTGTGGCAATTCTCTGTCAGAAATGATTACTCTTAAATTTCAACACACTAGTGCAGTTGCTTCAGAGGAAATGTTTAACTAGCTGAATAATAAGCATTAAGAAATAACACGGGGCTTTTTGGAATACTTACGGTGGTGATGATGAGGAGTGATATTGAGGTCAACAGATTGGTAGGTGGCTTAAAATGACTGAGGTATATATCCTGTTATATGGTGAGAAGGAGAATTACTTTTAAGATGTGTATCATCTATTCTTTTCCCCTCTTAACAAATAAACTGCCTTGGTCTTACTGTCTTTCCAGCTACGAAGAGCTGCTTCTACTGTTCTCTTATCACTTTCCTCCCTGTATTTTTCCAAATGTCACTTTTTTTAAGGTGCTGATGAAACAGCAAATATTCACTGAGGACCTCTAAGAGAAATACATGCTGTAATATTTTTCCATATTGTTCTGTCTTTAATACAGCCTAACATCTTATTCGCTTTCTTGACTGCAGCTACACATTGAGCAGATGTCTTCATCGAGCTGTCCATGGTGATGCCTAGATCGTCCCCTTGAAAGTTCACAGCTAATTCAGAATCCACCAGAGCATGTATGAGTGGTTTAAAGCCTTTCCAGTATTCATTGCCTTGGGTTTATTTTCTGTTGACATTCACTTGCCACTGAATTGCCAAGTTTACAGAGTTAGTTAGCTTACCCTGGCAATCACCATCTTCCCCAGTGCTGACAAACCTAATAACTTTCTATGGGCATTGGCTTTTGCCATCCGATATACTGAAGTCTTCAGTTTCATGTATATAATTCACTCTTCTTCCCAGTGACTAGCATGGCATGCTCTTACTAACTTTTACTTAATCTGACCTTTTCTGTTCTGTTTCTTGTCTCCTATCTTCTGTACTGAATTTTCTTTCTAGCTCAGTTATAGCATTGAAGTCATCGAGTTATAACTGTCTGCTTTATTTCAAATAATTTGCCTACAGAAAACTTAGTTAAAATGTTGTCATAAGCTTCCTTTTTTAATTAAAACAAATCACTTATTCTGTATCTCTTTCAGAGTACGTACAACCATTAACAAAATGATCCAAACCATAAAAACAGGCTGATACAAGAGAACAAATGCATTGAGAAACAGGTAAAATGTACATGAATCCGATCTCCTGGAGCTTAACTTCATTGGTTTCAGTGGAGTTATTTCCGTCACTTGAGATCAGTTTCATTAAAACTTGATTTGAGCTCTTCTCACTTGAAGTCTAGATACAACAGCCAGAATCAAGTGCAAGTGAACAAACCCCATAGCAAGCTTGTTTTAAATTTCTGGCTTACTCTGCACTTTGTTTGTGGCAGAGATGAAGCAGATGTATTACTTCGTCTCTGACCAGCAGCCAAATGGGCTCAGCCACACTTAGTCTAACACACCTATTTTGGTATTTAACTGGACATGGAAATTAGATTAAAATATTTGAGGTGAAGATGAGTGCAGCAACACTGGGCAGCAGGCTTAGTCTTTGTGGTTTGTTTCATCTCTTCACATTCTCATCTTGTACTTTAAAGATCGTACATCTGTAAATAAGGTTAAGTCTTTAAGTGCTGACTGCATTTACCAGTATTGCTACGTTTATAAATACAAAGGAGGTGTCCTAAGGGGAGACTCAAGCCTGTTAGGATGTATAGCCTACCACTTAAGAGCTGCACTGTCTCAATATCAGAACACTGTATCATATAGAACAGCTGCTTTCCAGTACTAATAATGATACGTGGTTGAGAAGAATGCACCTTGGATTTTGCATCCAAATAAATTATATCTGTTCTATTACAGCAGTTACTAGTATTCTGTCAAAAAAAATTGTGGCTGCTGGGGGTTTATAAAGTTGGCAAATTGGAGCTGAGGTTTTTTGTTAATTTTGAGGGGGTGAAGGGGAAATAGAGCAGATACAGCGATATCTGATAGTTGTTAGAATGTAGTACTTCATACCCTCTCCCGCGCATCTAGAAGACTCATGTCTGCTGCTACACTCACCAAAGCCCTGTCTTGCCACTGTAAATCCTTACTGTGTTATTTACTAACCACCCAGTAACCTTCAGGACTGACTAGTTCTCTGACTGTGCACTGTGTCTGTAATCTGGGAATTAGGTAAAAGGCAAACTAGCTTTGCAAAACTGGCACAACAGTGTTTTCTAGATAATTGGCTCTGCTAACTTTTTTTCTGCAATTCAAAGCCCAGCAACAATCTCTTGCTTTGACCCTTCTTCACCCTAGAGTATTCCCTTCTTCTTTTGTTCATCTACATTATTACCATGCCAAGGATTTCTAGTCAGGTGCCTGAATTATTCACGACTTACTTAGAAAGCAGCTCTATAAGCAAGAACTCCCAAGTCTCAATCATGCCGTATTTCTTCTGTCAGGGCTCTAGCATCACAAACATGGCTTCACCTGTTGCAAAATTGCTTAGCAAGTAAATGTGGTCTCCTTGAAGAATTTAAACCTAGACCCTCAAAGGCTACCTGGGAGCCTAACTCCCACAGAATACAGAAAAATGAAGGCAGTAGCACTGGTCACGGTACAACACAGTTCAGCTATGAAAAGAAGTAGGGTTGCATGACTGGTAACATGCTAGCTCAAACAAAACTCTTACCTGGACAGCAGGGTCTAGCCTAAAACATTTTTATTTTTTTTAATGAAGAGATGACTGAGTGAAGAATAGTAGGAGGACATCTCTGTAAGTGAAAAAAATATGAAACTGAATTTGCTTTCAACAACATACCGGAATGTCTCACCACCAGACTTAACCTGAAGAAATGAAGATAAAGCCATCTGAGTGCTTACTGTAGTGCAAAAGAAAGACCGATACTGTCTGGCTGGGAAAATGGTTGGCTGGGAGCCTGCTGAGCACAGCAGAAACTGTTTCAGCAAAGTAGAGTACAATGTGAACTATTTCTGAGGATCCCTGTGTGGCCCCCACAGTTAACACAGGAACCTAATGGTGCCTGTATATTTATATAATTATATGTTTATAGTCATAATTTAAGTTCAAAACCTGAACTATATATATATTTTTTTGTCAGTAGATTTTTTACCCTGGTTTACCTATCATGGCTTCTGCATATGACAACTTCTAACTGTGCGGTGCACACACCTGTTGTTGTCCTTTTGTCCCATGTTAGAGTAATGGTATCAAACTCTGTAAAGCACTTTTGTGATGTTTCCTGTGAAGAAAGCTGAAGAAAATAAATTTATCTTAACAGCACCAACGGAATTTATACCTCCAAGTCTGTCTCGCTTTTGTTGTGTTCACCCCTCTCTTCAGGGACTGAGCAATCACAGCAGTCAGCGGCACGGACAGCAGCATGCTGGTTGTCAGGGCGTTGTTCTAGGCTCAGCGCAGAGGAGAGGCTGGCTCTGGCTGTTAACAGCTGCTTTCTGCCTCTGTTCCCTCCAGTGCTCCCTCGCTGTCCTTCCTCCTTCACCATAGCTGCTTAGTGCCTGCCTTCCTTTGCCCTGGCTTATAGCTGATGTCCACCTGGGCAGTGCATGCTGTGGCCTGTTTGTGGCATACAGATACATGCAAGCTGAGCAGATGGCTGGAGAACAGGTAATGCTCAGATCCCACATTACTGGTCCCACTGGGGGTTGGCATGTGTCTGATTTTAGCTGCTCCCCTTCTGGCCTGCCCCCAGGATTCACAGCAGCTGCAGGAACTGTGTGTCTCCAAGACTTTCTTTAAAGCTTAGCTAAGTGGGTCAGGGAGTGGTTTCTTATCTGTAAGGTGATAAGAGCAGCACTACCCTTCTACAGCAGCTTTGTCTGAGGACTGGAAAGAAGAAAAAAAAAAAAAAAGTCACAGGACCCTTAGGTCTCACCTACTAATATCCACATCTCTTTAAAATGCCTGCAATGCAAGGCAGCATTTTGGAGGTAGAACAGAGAATTGCCAGTGAAATACAAAGTTAATTCAAAATGTGATTTAAGGCATTAACAGCAGCATTATTTTCAGTATGCGGACTTCGAGTAAGTTGGAGGTGTTTGACATCCACAAATAGCAAAAAGCATCAAGCTGTTAAGACCAAGAAAAGCAAAGCAGGTGATAAAGACTAGTCACTGCAACTCAACATAGCAATCTAGCCACAGCCTAAGCCTCCACTGACAGGGGCACAGACTTCACTTTTTAAAAGAATCAAATCCCTCCCATTCATTGGCATCTTTCAGTCCTTCCCGAGAACTCCTCCAGGTCATCCCGACAGCATGTTGCAGAGCTCACTGACAAAACATCCACTGCACTAAAGTAGGAAGCAGAAGCACAAAGTACAGCCTTGCACATAAAGGCAAGCTGCCTTCCTATTCTCTCTCACCTGGAGGCTGCCACAGCTCAGGTCCCTTGTCCCTTCCCCCCAGCAGCAAGGAGATCGTTCTCCCCAGCCTACAGCAAGACTCTCCAGATTGCACAGGTCTTACATGCTTGTGGCTCCTTTCTTCTATTTGCAACTGATACTGATGCAAAGACTTTCTATGAAAGAGTATTCAGCGGCTAGAAAATAAAAGTAGAATATACCCCCCTTCAAAACAATAGAGGTAAATTAAATAGACTTTAAAGATGTTACATATATTTCCCCAGACAAGTCCTGTGCAACTGGATGTCGTGCTTCTCTGTTCAAACAGGCTGCAGCAATTCTAGCTGCTTAAATACAGCTCTTCAGATTTCATAAGCACAAACACTTTTACCCACACTAACACAGTGCAACTCACATACAGTAGAAGTTCAATAAATAGAGACCCAGACCCCATAGTTACTAAAAGGTCAGTTTGTCAAATATTGTGGTTGTCTGACTAAGAACATTTCCAGCTGCTGGAAACTAACATCTTTGTTCTGCCTCTGGTTCCTGTCGCAGATTCAAACAGGGAGCATGGTCAGACAAACTTCACTCTTGTCAAACAGTTGGTTCTATGTTTGCTGAACAGATTCATTAGCACTCAGAACAGCAGTACCTCAACAGTGCCTCTATTTATAGAAATAATTTATTACACCCTCTATTAGTACAAAACTTTACAAGCCAGTTCTTTTTCTCCCATTTCCTTTTTCCCCTCCAATAGAAAATACCAAAAGAGGAAAAATTCATGTAAAACCACAGTCCATTACTGAGTGGGAAATGCAACAGAATTCTCATCAATTGGTATTTTCCCCACAACACACAGATAAAGGATGTGATAAGCATCTCTCAAAGTATTTCTTTACTATTATTATACAATGGTGTCCCTGAAGAAAATCATTAGTGGGATAGTTAGGACATTTTAGAAACAAAGTATTTTTTGGATGAGTTCTTGCTACATTTTTAGATGCTGCTGGTAAGCAAAGCAATCTTTCCTATGAGTATTACTGTAAAGTTATTTTAATCTCAGGACAAATTAGAAGTGGAACTCAAAGCTTTTAATTTTTGTGGTGAGAATGAAAAAATATAAATATGAATTTAAAAACGTACAAATTAAAAACATGGAATTTGCTCAGTGTATTCTAGATCGCTTGACTCTGCTCATTTCTCCCAGCGCTTTTCTTTTCTGGGATACTCCAGTTCCAAGTTCTGTGTTATTCTGAAGGTAAGACTCAGCTTCCGGCAGGCAGTAAGACTCCATTGGGGGAGGTGGGTCCTTCAACAGAGGAAGAAAGAAGTGGTTTAGCTCAAGCCTTTGTTTAGCTCAAGAAGCTTCTGAGAAGAAACAGCTCATTAGTTTTCTAAAACTGAAAATAACATAATGAACACTGCACACCAACATTTTTAATACGTTTTGCAAGCTCTCTACCCTGCCAGCACTAGAACAAGTCATGTTACAGCAATTAAAATTTGAGGCCACGGATCGAAATACTCAGCATAGGCACTTGTGGCCACAATTCCTGGCAAAGGCGGCACATGACTGCTAGAGCAGCAGTCCGTTTCAGAGGCTTCAGGTGGCTGGGGTTGTTGGAGGCGCGGGTGGGGTAGTTGAAGAGCACCCCCGAGAGCGCCCTCGGGCATGCACACCTGGATGAGGTAGTCAGCAATGTACTCCGGTTTCAGGCAGTTCACTCCTTGGGCTGCCGCCTCTGCTATGTTAACCCTGGTGTCATCCGGCTTCAGCTTACTGAAGTCAGCGAAGAGATGAGTTGCTTCTTTAAAGAGAGACACAGAATGACCAGAAAACACCTGCAGATTAAAACACAACAGAAAAAAAACAAGTTTATTTTTGTGTTTCTTCCCCAAGACAAATGCAGTTCATGACCTATAATTTCACTCATCAAATTAACTAGCAAACCAATGAGAAATAAAATACCATTTACAGCTGCATTCTGTACCATCGCATACCCTTCAAGAAGGATGATCCTTCTCATCAGAGTGGGGCACAGAAATTCCTATCTTCAGTTCGCACCAGCACTACTGACTTGTGTGACCTCAGACAAGCTGCCCTGCCTGACCACATGCAAAACGAAGATGACATAGCTTTTTCCTCCTACCCTTCAATCATGTCTCAGCTATCCTGTGTGTAAGCAATTTTGTTGGTTAAGATGTTTTACTCGCATGGAAAATGCCCAGCGCAGAGTTTAACAGAAAGAAAAAAAAATTAATAGAAACATATGTGTATTTAATTATTTTTTCAAAAAACTACATACTTTTGCTCCTCCTGACTGAAGAAGGCGCCTGAATCCTGCTTCCTTGGTTTGGTCAACGTTCAGGATCACTTTCCAGCCACTGAAAGCTCCCTAGATAAAAGACTCAATTTAGTCAAAAGTACATCGGTACTAAAAAAGTACAAAGACTTAATGGATCTATAATTTGCCCCTTTCATGAATATCCATTAGATGAAGATTCGCTGTCACCTAGTTTTGTCTTTAAGTGTAAATGGCAGAAAAAACCCCACACAACATGTAACTACTGGGCCAATACCATAGAGTCAGGCAGCTTGCCACCAAGCCCTTTCACCCACATAGCAAGATGGGCAAACCAATCTATGAAAAGACTCTTGGCAGTAAGTATTTTTTCCAGAACACCAGACACTCATCTACAGAAACACATCTTAAGACAGTTACTTGGAAACAACATATCCCCCCTACCCCATGCACATGATCTATGCAGTTACAGTAACAGCACCTAGGGCCAACTGGTTGCCTCCTACAAGCACTCAGTCTGGTTTCCAAGTAGGCAAGGGGTACAGAGGATTTGTTACAAGCATTCATTTAAAAAGGCTGTTGTGAAATACATGCAAGTGAAGATTTATCCTGATGCGACTGAAACAGCAGCAGTATTTCTACTTTTCAAGGAATACTCAACTGCAATGCCTGATCTGAGAGAGGAGTTAAAAGGCTTTGGGGAACCCAATTCCCACGTTCAAAAATTTCACTGAAAGACTATGGAACTTGCACCGTAAAAATCACGGAAGGTGCTTTAGGAAAGGTGCAAACTTGTGCCATGTTTGAAGCACAACAGTATGCTCACTGCTAGAGCTATAAAAATGCTGTCCAGAGAGCTGTATTCACCTATATGGCACAGCACAGGATTTGTAACTGTTACTGCCAGCACCAGTTGTGTTTTCCTAGTAAAGCCCAGTTAGGTTAGCTTCCCAGTCAGGAATCTGAAAGTGTAAACATCATCTTCATGGCCAAGGGACATTTACATACGTAAGTAGCCACATTCCAGCTTTGCAAAAAATGAACAATGGTTCAGGAGGAGATTAAGACTTTTAATATGCCAGCACTAGAAGTTTTTTAAAAATAAAATTACTTAACTAGAATATATCCAGCCAAGCCATTTTGTTCTTAATAACAAGGCAGATTACCTTTCCCTATCAGTTAAGTTTCTGAGTTTCTTGATGACAATCCCTGTCCTGTCTGCCCACACTGTACAACTTACATGAGTATCTAAGTATCTCAACAATACCATACCTCAACAATACCAGTTTCTTGCCTCCCTTTATGAATTTTTTTCCTCCACCTCATGGCTGCGAGTGCTAGTTTCTTCTGGTTTACATTGATTCCAGGCAAAACATTAAGTATGGAATTACTTCCCCACTCATAATCTTCTTCCTAGAACAATCATAAGCTTGAATTACAAAGCAGTCCTGCCAACTTTACCGGCAGAAAAATAAATACAAAACCCATACCAAAATGAAAAAAAACAAAAAAACCCAGAACAAATCCCAACTCACTCTAGCTTTATATATTGATTTTATCTGGCCAAAACAGCTGTAGTTAAAATTAGAGATATGGCTCTTAATTGCACATATATATCTACATCAA